GGGGGGGGGGAACAGAAGAGTATTTTAAAGATATAAAAGAGACAGACACAAAGGTAGATGAAAGGTGAGGTGAGTACTGTAGAAATATTCGAATATGACATACAGTGGGGTGATGGTAGTTTGAAGTGAGAAATCAACTGCTGGTTAATAGACTTTTTTGCCCTATGAGTATACGTTTCCCAGGTCGCACCACGTGAAGGTAAATCTATCGCACACCCCACTTGAACAACTTATACCTCCCCCCCTTGAAAACATTACCATTAGTGGATTGATAAATAAGTTAAGAAAGGCAAAAAGCTGCAAAACTTTAGGGGAAGGTAAGTAATGGAATTAGGAAATAGAGAACTCCAATTTTGTAAGCTTTGATCGGTAAATGCAAACACCAAGTAGTGCAGTAGTGGTGTTCAAAATGCGCAGTCAAACTCCCTGAATTATGGCGAACATTTTATCCACAACATTCAAAGCAAGTTGAAACATTAACTTGGCTTTGTAGTCGGTCACATTATGCGCATTTGATTATGAATACTAACAACTTCATTTGCCTATTTTTACACAACAAGGATTTTTAAACTTCTAAAAGGCTTTTTCTTTGTGATATATTCAGCAGAGAAAACCCTTGTAATCTATGTTTTATTGCATGGAATTAATATGTTGGATATGATTAACTCTGCGCTTAGCAGTCTTTATAATATCGACGCTAATAAAAGAGGTAGCATATTTTCAAAGAAATCACAAAATTATTTCGCTTTGAATATTGCTCATTAATATAGCTAGATATTCTCTGTCTTGCATTGGGAAATACTATCTAGAGGAGTTTATGCAATTCTTGTTGAAAGACAGTATTAACAAGTCAATTAAAAAAATTGACTGTTGACTTACTTGTCTTCTCCGTTCGGTTTACTCACCCCTCCTGCTTTAATCAGGAAGATCCAGGTATCATTATTCGTTTTTGCTTCATTAAAGTTTTCTGCTAATACTTGTAAAGTGAAAAGCCAAGGTATACGAAGTCAGCCTTTGCCCATTTTCTAATTTTGTTTGCGGCAGAGGAGGTAGTCGGAAGACTTGGGATTGTAGCGGATTGCTACGCTAGTAAAACCCGACCTGGTTAAAGACTTGTAGCGGATTGCTACCTTAGTAAAGCCAGACCGGTTGAGAATTGTAACGGATTGCTACCTTAGTAAAGCCTGACCGGATTGCATTGTAGCGGATTGCTACGCTAGTAAAGCCTGACCGAAGAAATCTCTATGGCAGATTCTCCAACATCTAGCTAGACTCAAGTCTCTATGGCAGATTCTCCAACATCTAGCTAGACTCCCGAGAAATCTCTGGCAGATTCTCCTACATCTAGCTAGACTCCCGAACTAGCTAAGCTATAGCCCAGCTATAAAGAAAACAGACGTATAATTCAGCTAAGCTATAGCCCAGCTATAAAGGAAACAGACGTGTTGCGCTAAGCTATAGCCCAGCTATAAAGGAAACAGACGTGTAGCACGGAGCACGTTTATTCAGGGCGTATATTGCGGATCAAGTGTTCACGCAGGGAGCTTAATCATGATCAGGATTGCTGATTAGGTTAAATAAACAGAGGTTAATGATTTTACGGTCGCACCTCCCAATCCTGGCGTGCAGGCATGCGATAAAGTGTCCCACAGGATGGCTATTTTCTATTTTTGGAGTCACTATTTGGATTTGAAATCGATATTTGTTTAATAGTGCTAGCAATATGAAATAAACTTCATTCTAGTTCATTAATGATTAATTTAGGTGAATCTAATTTACATAACTTTCGAGTGCTATTGATTTAAATACCGAGTGTAATTTCTACTTATACTTAAGTCAAACTAATTGAACACCGTACTATTGAGTTTAGAATTATGCAAGTAATTGGTAAAATATTTAAACTATGTGGACGACTTACGTCCAAACACTCCACCAATTGAAATCATTTTCAACTTCTTCAAGAACTTAGGCAGGTGATTGATGAACGATCTATGGAAATACCCAATAATTTATTTATATAGACGTATTCCTTTGCAGATCTGGGTGTAGGGGTTTTCCGATAAGAGTAAAATCGTATGAGAATTTTAATGAAATCGGCCTTCTAGGGAATGGGGATGGCCAAGCAGACGATTTCACATAGATAAAACTTGCTGTTATACGCTCCCATACTTTTAGGAAACTAACTCAAGAGAGGAAAACTTCAATTTATTCACCATGGAAGTTGGAACTGATTACTATCTCAATTCCAATTGTAATAAAGAAATTTCTGCTTTCATTACGCAGAGTAACAAGGTACCGATGAAACTTTTAATGCCATTTAAATTAACTCACAATTAGCCGGTACATTTCCACTGCTTATACCTTAAGTATAATCATTTGTTTAATCCTCAGTACTTAAGTGGCCCAAGTAGTGAGCAAGTGTAATAGAATTAACTTTTCAAGGAGGGATTGAGAGCTGTTATCTTAATGAAATTAATGCCCTGATATACGTCCAACAAGTTCCGAATCATCGAATACTCAGAATATATGGAAAAGCATCGATTAAAATAAAGATTATAAGGTCAATTTTACACTTTAATAGACAAAAGACTTATTAATGAAAAAATGAATTATGGATTACAAATACAACATATAAAGGGGTTTTAATTTTGGTTTAATAATTAGATTTCTTCCAATTGTTACTTTTCTTCTCATCCTTGTTTGGGAGCTTAAATTATTACGAAGTTTACAAATGCACCATAAAAATGTGTCTGGTTGATACGTTTGACTCTATACGCGCCGTTGAATTAACGTCCCTCAAATTCGTTTCAAAGGTAAAAAAAGCACTATTTAAGCTCAGTAGACAAATGAATGTGACCACACGGGCGTGCGATCTTCGGCATTGGCGAAAATGCTAACTAATCCGATCACCTATTCTTCGCTGGAGCATGTTTCGTGATACTATTTCATATACCTATCGCACTGGATTCAGTCTAGGTCTGAGCCGTCAGAGTTGGGACTCCTTGACTAGGCACAAGATTAAGCTTAGAGACAAAATTGATCTGAATTCCAATTTTAGGCATTGCCAATCATTCCCATTGAATTCGCGAAAAGCGTGAAACAATCAAAACCTAGAAGTCTCTATCCAAACCAAACTTTTGGGTGCATAATTAACGAGCGTCTGTGTTGTTCTATGGCCATAAATAACAGATTTCCAGTCTACTGTCACTATCAATTGTGACATGACGCCTCAATACAACATTCGTTTCGAAAACACTTTCGATTAAATTGTTTACTGAAGCCAAATAAGTTGTGTGCTTGTTTCTTATCCCACTCAAACATTTTAATGCGCATTACTTTAATGTTCTCAGTAGCACTAAATGTATTTCCATAGCCATCCAGTTTGTCAGCATTCAGCTTACGAGTCACCAACCCAAACCAATATCAAATCGGTGATCTTATTTAACGTAGACGAAACTACCTCATGGCATTGCAATTCAAATAAAATTTGAGCTTTACTTCTGGCATGAAATTGAAAAATCTTTGTTTTATATCAAGCTTAGTTGCCATCAATGCATTTGTGAATATTGTCAAATATTCAGAGGCCGCGATATTATGATTTGTATGTGATTTTTTAATACCAATGGTTTGTCTCTCTCATTGTTAATTTGAATTCTCCGAATGATAGTCATTCTCTTTATTGGTAAATCTGCTTCAGGAAACGTTATCCAAGGTGGTAATGTGGATGAAGGTACAAGGACTACAACAGCCAATTAGCCCGTGTGCGATTGTGACCATATGGCCTGAAGTTGCCGATGGGCACACTGAGCACCATATCGATTTCTCCATCGATCCTGAATTATATCATTCTGTGGGTTTCCAACTTGCATTCTCTCACATTGTTAAGGCGATTCATAAAAGTTTTCACTTCCATCGATAAATTATTTTCTACTTTCTTTATTTCAGTAAATTATTTACTTTTATAATATTCTTTTTTGCTAATCTTTCTTATATGGAAAAATTAACGGGTTACTATCTCCCGAGTTTTATTTTCAGTTGTTGGTCCTCATTGCAATGCTAGTTGCAATCAACATAGATTGAAAAAGTTGGAATTATGGATTTCCTCCGCTAGTTTTGTGTTATTTTGAATTCAAAAAGTTTTAACGCTAATGACGATTGCTAAAGTTGTGTGATTAGTTTTTGAAGAGCCAAGATTTCGGCCTGATAACCATTCCTGGCCCCAAAAAGCAAGTCTTTCCCAAAATGTCAGAGAATACTTGGATTTCTGCTTTTGGCTATAAGTTTAAACCTCGCCAAGCTTCAGCCTTAACAATTCCTAATTCTGTCTATTTTTACCCTATAAAGCACCTACTTTACACTAGCTCCTATAAACAGGAATTCTTGATGAACGTTATGATCAAAACGATAATTACGTATTATAATCATTATTAATATCATTAGCTTGGATATTTTATATACATGCAAATTTATGAATTTGAGGAGAAGATGTTGTAGAAGATAAACAATTTATAATAGCTATTAAACCAGTACCAATGCATAGTTGATACCGTGATAACACGAGGATTTCACATAAACAAGAATTGAAAGATTTGTTTTTTTCAGTCGCATAAAACAAGACCCTTTAAAATCAGTCGATACCAAGGTCACAAAGTTGGTGAAAATGAAAAATTAGTATACAGTTCAATCGTGTTGTCACTGTTAAAGAGTGGAAATTGCAGTTGTGATAAGGGCTATTAAAATCAGAAATGAATTAAATTTTAGAGAGGTAGAAGAGAGTAAAGAAATGGTGAAGTACTCGTTTGGTGTCTCCCCGTGGAATTCAATCTGATAGGGCACTGCAATTACCTTTCCATGCACTTTTAGGGTGCTCCGACCTGATAAAGAAATGAACAAGTTAGTAATAAGTCAGTAACCTAATAAAAAAATAAAATCCAACAGTGAGAAGCTCCGTGTTATGATATTTACTTTGCTTATTAAAAAATTCACCCACGAATTTTCAAATACAATGGTTCAAATTAAAACCAAACATTCTTGAGTTTTATAGTATATGCTATACAGGTAAGCCTTGTCTAAGTCTAAACAATCCTTTTTTGGCCGAATACCTTCGATATCACCCAAGCTTCCCAACAATAACGTTCGTATTCTGTCTTTTAAATACCAATCTCCTTATCAATATGCGGCCATATTGAAAGTGGCGTCACGAGATTTTCTAGACCCATAGTGATTCAACCTCAAAAACATAAGTAATATGTAGATTACTTTATCCATTTATAAGTAGTCTTTGTGACGTCAATATTGTCCCAAAATAGGTGAGGTTAAAATCTGTCTCTCTGATTCATTTGTGATATCTATTAAGCACCTAGATCATCGTGATAGAAACTGGACCAATTGAAATTAGATAAGGAGCTTTCAGTAAAGTTCTTTATAACATGAAGTGTTTTTTCTTAGTTAGGTTCGACTATGTACTGCAGTAGCCTGGCCATTATGCGTGGTCTCAATATTAACAAAATTTTCCGATTTCATTTGATTAAGTTGAGTTAAAATGGAGGCGATTTACAATTTAGTATGGCAACAATAACCCAATTCATATCCTCTAGTATTTACAACTTGATTAATCGGTTTTATAGTTATAAAAGAACAACTAAACCTATACCAAATTGTCACTACACTAAATGCTGAGTCTAAAATCTACTATGATATAGAGTAATAAATTATTAATGAACCATATGCTAATCAACAATATATACATTATTACATAAACTGATATTGGTTCTGGACAATGCGAATAGATATCCACTCATGAAGGAATACACTTTTGAAGAAATTGTCATTTAGGAAGCATTTAAAGTCGTGGACTGCAAAGATTCAATGATAAAAAGATTAGTGAAATCCAACACGAATAGGTCTTAAATAAACCTCTGCAGTCTCTATGACAAAAACTTCCGGTATAGAATGGCTTCAGAAGTTAACTGAGTTACCTCGACAATGATGAGGAAGCAGAACGCACGACAGTGGGTGTGCTCATTGAGGTTGTGATAATTATGAAAATGTTGTATGATGTCACTGGCACAGAACTGAGTCATCGAATTTCGTTTCGGACAAGCTGACCTGCAATAAATACCGACTGTTGATTGGCTAACAGGTTTTTGCACTCGTGACATCATTTTCTCGCTAACTCAATTAGCAATACGGCCGCACGTTCCAGAATGTTCGAGCGTTCAACAATGTTAGGATTGAACACTCCCCAATGAGCAAACTTAATTCAAAAATTCCACTCAATATCTTTATCAGATTTCAAATTGTAATACCTGGTTCTATCCCTTCAACGACACCTGTCCGTAACGAAAACTCGCAAATTGTTGCAAATTAATAAATTTCACTTACTTCCTGTAAATTTCACCAGAACACCTTCGTTATCATTGTCAGATGTGAATACATTGTCAACCTTGTCTGGGCCAAAGTAAGCAGTAAACTCAGGTATCTAAAATTACAAAACATGGGACCCAAAACGTGGATAAAACTACAATACACACAGAGAGAAACGTCTTACCTCAGTTGCAAAGAAAGGCAATATAACCTGAATTGGCTGAGCTATGCTATAGTTTCCTGTTATGGGAAGCATATGAGGACTTGTGTATTGAACTCGCCATTGTCTCTGCGGATATTCTACAAAAAATACGGTGATATTTTCTTAAGAGCTGTATGTGTTTCCAGCCTCTTTTGATCAATTAAAACTAGTGTGTGACCACAGCAGTGATGATTCATGTAAATGAGACTGAGAATTGCTTGATTTAGTTACCTATCCTTCTCTTATATTATTATGTATAACTCCTAAAGTAATTAATAGCACTTCCACTTGACCACAGGCCTACATATCCAACACGCGGATTGGTTTGCGGGCTATTAATCCTACCTTTGTGTCAAATTGCACAGAGACTTAAAAATCGGTGCCCATTTATAGCTCTAAATTTACGTTTATAAATGGTAAAATTTAAGGTTGTAAAGGGCATTTCCAACACAACTTGAAATTAAATTCCTTAGATTTAGATCTGCGTTACTGAAATGATGACACGTGAAATGATTGAAATGATGTTAAAGGTTTTGATTTCTATATTGCTTAAGTGGGGTGTGCGATAGACTTACCTCCACCTGGTGCACCCTGGGCAACGCATACCCATACGGCAAAAAAGTCTATTATCTGGCAGTTGACTTCTGACTTCAAACTACAATAACTTCACTGGATGCCATATTCTACCACTTCCACAGTAATCATCCTTTCTTTTCTCTGGCTTTGTGTCTGTCTCTTTTACAACTGTAAACCACTCTTCTGTTCCCCATCCCTCGACTTCTTATTACTTTGATGTTCCTTCCGTCTGCGGAGCCCGAAGTCAGCTAAAGGGCTAATGATAACCATCAAAACGCCTGCCATTTGAAATAAATAAATAAATAAACCTTCGTCTTTGAAGCACTCTTCAGTTTCCCTCCTCTCGACTTTTTCACTTTGATGTTCCTTCCCCTCTGTGAAGCTTGAAGGTCTTTTTGTCACCTTGATGTTTCTCCTCCTCTCTATGAAGACCGAAGTCAGAAAGGGCTAATGATAACCATCAAAACGCCTGCCATTTGATGTAAATAAATAAATATATTGCTTAAATAGAAAATCTAAAAGCGATCTCTGTCTTGTTAAAGTATCGAAATGGGAAATATGATTATCATCTGAGAATAAGCATATAATTATTTAATAGTTTAAAATATATTATTGGTCTAATTTGTGTTAGCATATAACATAAATTACTGATGAAAAAACAATAATACCAAATTTTATAAACCTATTAGGCAATTAATAAACCCAGTTTTAAGGTTGGAATTTCAAAGTGAATAATTTGCGCTCTCAACTGCATTAAAACAATTAAAACATGCTTAAGTTACCATCGCTAGCTCGGTGAACGAGCAGAGTTGCCTGCATACTGCCCTTCGAAAAGACTATATGCGTCACGTCTTTTCCTTTGAAGGTACCGGAGATTCGAAGAAATGTTGTTCCTATAAAGTGACAAACATGAATCTTTCTATGAAACATTTATCAATACTGATAAAATTAGCTTATTTTGGTTGGAGTCAAAGTTGCAAAATTGAAATTCTAGTAAAAATTCATTTTTTTGATCCGATTTTTATGATATAATCATAATCCATGTGAGTCTTGGGTATAGAATTTCGTGGATTACACACGATAGATCTTAGCAATCTGGTGGATATTCGAACATTCTGGAGCTTGTAAATTTGCGGGCATGAGACCTCTCAGCTAATCATTGATTGAGAGGTTCATTCAAGCTATTTTTACTATATTCAATCTCTAATCATGTTTGACATGAGCATAAGTTTAATTATAGCTGAATTTGCTACAGGCCTATTTCATCCAGGTCTTCGAGAAAGCTAATCTAGTCCAAAGAGCCTTTCCATACTTGGATATTTTGCTATAGAGTCTAGTGGGGAAAAGTCAAGGCCTATTCCTATTCAGATTAAGCGAAACTAATTTTATTTAAAGAGGTAATTTCATAATATGCCCTTCTGATTTTTTCCAGGCAAAGTGAATAGTATTTCCTTCTTCTGATGTAGATATTAACTTTCTTGTGATAGCAACTGGGGGTGTGCGATAGACATACCACCACGTGGTGAACCCTCTGTAACGTAAACTCAAACGATAGTTGACTTCTGACTTCAACCTTCCATTACCCCACTGTATGTCATTTTTCAGCACTTCCACAGTACTCACCTTTACTTTTTCTCTACCTTCACGTCTGCCAGACTCATACGTCTGTAAATCATTCTTCTGTTTCCCTTCTCAACTTTTCTCCTTCTGATGTTCCTCCTCCCTCCTGTGAAGCCCGAAGTCGGCTAAAGGGCTAATGATAACTATCACAAAGCCTGCCATTTGAAATAAAAAAAATGATAGCGAATGGAGTACACTTTTTTAAAATTCTTCTTTTACTGAGTTAATTAAATGATAATCAATATTCCTAAGCAACTTTTTATATGAGTTGCTTATTTCGCATAGTAATTATGCCTACCATAGGGAAGATGAGATCATATAACCATTCGTCAACAAGTTATTAAAAAGGAAGTATGATAGAAGGAAATTAAAGAGATGCAATGCGCAAGCTTTAAGTGACAACCGCATTTACTTTCATGAGCAAGTTATAATCTGTTACATTTTAAAATATCGAATGCAGTGCTTGCCTGTTTGATTGTGGCAGACATTGTATGACGGATGACACAAGGCATCATGTGGCGGATTTGAAGACTGAAATTTATATCCATACAAAATGAATGTAAATATTAAAGTAACTTTTTTTATAAATAAAAAGTTTAAGTCTCACTTGAATGCCGAATTTTAGCGCTCGTTCAATCTGCACGTAATCGTTTAAATCCACCTTCACCTTACAGCCTTTATCATCACAAAGCAGATCATCGTCGGTTCTTAAATTTAAACAGAACATCTATTTAAATTGGTTTAGAAATCAATTGTTCCCTGCATTTCAGCAACAATTATAAGTAATCCTCTTCATTCTCCATAAGTATTGCGATCTACACATTCCATATTCCAGTTTGTAAGATAGAAAAGAGAGTGATAAAACAGTAGTCGTTTGGATAAAAATTGTAACGATGACCTTGAAATATTCAAATGGAACCATCGATAGGGAATGTTTAATATTTCTATAGAAAATGACCATATTCTAAGCTGTACATTTCAGCATTTGTTACTGAGGTTTCTAAATAATTAGCGTTTACTAAATTTAGATATCATGGACTATGTAATTTAATTAAGTGATTTGCCATGGTACCTACAAACATTTATTTCCTTTTTTAAGTGCATCCGAAGCCTAAATATTATTTTCAAGTAGCTCTTCCTCTTCAGACATCTGTTTTCAACCCTCGATTTGCAATTACCCAGTTTCAACACGGGTTTAACTGAGAAATGTCCAAAGGAATCAAATGAATTATAAAGATTAGGTCCTGAGAACTGGTAAAATCGGAGAATTATCCAGGGCATTAAAGTGATTTTCCATTTAAAATTGTGATTAAATGGGGTATTTAAAAAAATACAAATAATATTTTGGATTTTTTTGCGATTTCAATCATCCTTGATTTATGCTTAATTAACCAATTTAAAGTAATTATGTGAATGAAAATGAACTCAAAATGGCGCATCTTGACAAGAACTCATCCAGAATGAAATATATAAAAATAGGAAAAATTTTGCTACCAAAAGGTAGTTATTCACCTTTGTACCACAAGCGTTTAAATAATGTTGTGCACTTAACATTCTAACTTCCTTATATGCTTTCATTCACCACTTCCAATCAACCCCATTTTGAGGACGTTGATATTTCGAGTGTCCAGGTGCTATTTCGTAAACAAATCTTCTGAAAATATTTACATTTCAAAATGCAAATAGGATACTATGAGGTCCTTTTCCAAGAAAAGTCAGATATTGTGATTCCAACACGGAAGGTGTAAGTCCATTTAACTGATTGTGGTAATTAATCACGGTAAGGAAGAAGTTGACTTCTTTTTCACCATCCAGATTCGCTAGATTATTCTTTCATTCAATCCATCTGCACTTACCTTGAACATCAGATAAATGTTACTTCGTTAAAAGGCTTATAGCAAGCCAGTGATAGACCTACCCAACAATTCGGCTGAAAAGTTGCTTACAAGGTAACATTTTCATCTAATAATATCGTGACGGATTTTACATCAAACTAGTCAGTGAACATCAATTCACTGTTTAATTTGATAGATAAACATCTTAGATGCACAACAGTTTTCGGATGCGGTTGATTGGTGTGAAAGGTATTCATCTTATTGTAAATTTTGGCTTAAAAAAGCTCCATTTTAAATAGGATATTAAAAAAAGAACATTAAACCCTGCACATTTTTTCTCTCTGAAAAGTCGTTGTATCTTTAACAAACATATCATTCAGAAAAAAACTATTATCAGGGGTATGGTGACAAAGTGTTCATTTTGTCATCACTGAGAGGTAGAATAGTTTACACATCTTTCAAACCAACATGAACTTTTATCGACAGTCCAGCCTTTATCAAATTAAACTAAAGATATTTCTTCTTAAAAAGGTTATTTACTGTCTAATTAATTATAAAAGACGTTTATTTCAAATAACCTATTTATATATCCAACCGCCTTAACCATTTTACGTTGTCCCCTATTGAAAAGTTCACTTTACATAAGAAAATAAGAATGTAGGCTTTTCCAAGGCTAAATAATAGTTTTAAGTTACTTTGCATTTAAAGTATAAATATTAATTGCATTTTAACTCTAATTATTCACAAATAACAAAAATTTTGTTTTGATAAAATTTAATATGGAAAAATATTGATGGTTAGATAATTATCCTGAAATCAGAAAATAAGTAATAGATTGGGGAAAAAAGACACTCCACATTAAGATTATGGCATTTACTAAATGGTGCTTATAGAATTTGAAAAAAGTAGCTCAAGTTGGTTCTTTTCGAACCTTTCATTAAAATGTTAAGTTTGAAAAAGCTGAGGAAAAAATATTTAAAAGAAATGAATTTAAGACCTGAATTGATATTTGACGATAAAAATGCGTATATGTAAATCGAATATATAAGAAAGAGAAGGCTTGTATGGAAATAACTCGTTGTTGAAAATCACTGAACCCCTGACTATCTGGATTCTCTTTCAATAGGTTTCATTGTCGTTCTTTAAGTAATGTTGTTTAGCGTTAAAATGCTGTCTGAGGTGTCACTAACCGAGATTTGAACACGGTGAAGACATGCCCAATTAGTTTTGTCAAAATTATAGCCATTTAGTAAATTTCCAATCATTTTTTCTAATTTAAATGCGGAATTTGAAAGTTTGTGGTTATAAACGCAGTTAAAACTCACATAAGTTTGGCGGATATCCGACTGAATATTGCCATGGTTATGCCTTAAATTTCAGAAAATTAGTGTCCTTTAATTTGTTCAATTAAAAGTTTATTAACATAATTGTGGAAAGCACGTACTTAAATAAAGCAGAGAGGTAGACATGTCTACTGCTTTGAGAAAAATAAATCCGCACTACAGGGCTGCAGTCACGCAAATAGGAGTGGAGTGAAGCGGAAACTTTTCCCCTATCTTCATCGCACCGCAATGTTTACACCTTTTGGTGCAAACGTGCTAGTCACCAGGACACTGACAGTGATGCCTGATGACGCATTGCATAAGGCCGAATAGCTGCCTGTGCTAGCTTTATGATTGGCGCGCCAGCTGTGTGCAGCGGTCAGAGAAAAAGGAATGAAATTGCGCTCTTTTTGATTTGCCAAATCCTTAAACTCCTCCTCCTCCTCCACCACGATTGATGCCGGTGTTCGGATTTGCTAAATATCAAAATATATTTCCCTTCTGATTGAAATGCATACACTGGCATTCAAATTTGAAATTAACTTTAAAAACTATTTGGCTTTATGGTATTCTCGATGAATAAAGTATTTATGTAAGCTATGTCTTTCATAAAAGTTCAAAACTATTAATAACTTTTTTAAACTCTTATCCATCTGGGGTGTGGGATAGACTTACCACCTGGGCAACGTATAACCATACGGTAAAAACGTTCATTAACCGGCAGTTGACTTCTGACTTCAAACTATCATCACCCCACTGTATGTCATTTTCGACCCTTTCCACAGTACTCATCTTGCCCTTTCTGAGCCTTGGTATTTGTTGGTTTCTTTTACATCTGTGAATCACTCTTCTGTTCTCCCTCCCGAATTCTTCTCATTTTGATGTTCCTCCTCCCCTCTGTGAAGCCCGAACTCAATTGAAGGGCTAATGATAACTATCGAAACGCCTGCAATTTGTTATGAATAAATAAGTAAGCTCTCCATATATATATATATATATATCCACAGATTATCATTTTCACAGTCTTAGAAAAATTTGCAACAAATTATTTGATGACTGAAACGAAAATTTAGAAGAACTCTAATTTTTACTTTGAATTTGAAAGGATATGGCTCTTCAAATATTGTCAATGCAATTAGATTGAATTTTTTGATTTTTAGAATAATTTAATGAAGTGTCATTAAAATATCGTCACTAGTCACATTCATATTTTACATATTTTAACCATTTCTTCACCCCATGACCTTATCGTGGCCTCTTGTAAGCTAAGGCACCCTCTCCAACGTAGCATTACTAGGGCGGCGTCATTACGAATTCTGCTTCTGCGTTCATCCACTTTTGATCAATGTCTAATCTTTGGCATTTTGACCTTCAGCAAAATTGATGCTGTATTACATGCGTAAACTTATTAAAGAAGCTAATATAAAATCCAACTATTGCTGTCTTTTGACTAGACAGGCCTATTTAATTTAGTTCATGCACTGAAAATCTCTGAAACTCTTGGATGTGATCGACAGATATACCTGCACTTAGTGCATTCTAGGTAGCGTATATTCATACGACAAAAAAATCTGTAAACCGGGAGTTGACTTCAAACTATCATGACCTATTCTCTGTCACATTCGATCACCTTCACAGTACTCACCTTACCTATGTATCTGTCTCTTTAACATCTGTGAATCACTCTTCTGTCCCCCCCCCCTCTCGACATTTTGTAGCTTTGACGTTCCTCCCCTCTGTGAAGCCAGAAGTCAATTAAAGACCTAGTGTTAACTATCATAAAGCCTGACATTTGGTATAATTCGATAAAAATCTCTTGGTTAACTGCTATAAAAAATATATTCATTCCGATTTGTAGTCTGACAAAATAATTGAAGGTAACGGCGTAAGTGCCAAAGCTCAACCATTTCGCATGATTTTGTGATGCGCATTTTGCCTCCAGGTCATTTAAAATGCCAGCAGAGTTCTATGATAACATAGCAACTGAATCACAATTATTGTGATTAAACAGCCAAACTAGTAGCTGTAGATTCTTATTAGAGTTAGTGATATATGACATATCATTACCAACAGTGCTATCGAATGCTATCACGAAATGTGTTCAATAAAACATTTTCAGTTATCTTCCGAATTGAAATTCGCTGTAATTTTTGATCGAATCCTACATTTCTCGTAGAAATTATTAATGAGATTATCCGTGTTGTTGCATGGTAGCAATTAATACACAAGTGAATACAATTTACAATACATTACATTGTGTGGAAATAAAAACTCAATACTGCCGATTAAAAGTACAATTGAAAACATTTAATCAGTCGAAAGGGTAGGAAACCGTTTTTTAACATTTTCTTTTCAGTAAATTTTCTCTGAAGAATGTTGAACCGAGTGTACTTTCGAATTTAGAATTTATTATTGCTTAGTGATGTCATAATCCTGAAATTTGTTTAATGTTAATTAACTTTGATAATGATTTGCTTAAATGAATAGAAATGCTAGTATTTATTTTAATGCTTAATTATCTTCATGATTATGTATTACTCATGACAAAATTGGGAGAAATAAACAAATTT